ACTACCAAGACCAATTTTACAAACTTGATTTTTTGAAATAATATTTTTTAGACTGTAACGTTCTTCTTCACTTTTGAACTGAGTCCATAAAGACATAAGCTCACGATGCACATAGCCACTAGGATGTGTCTCAAGAATCTGTTGAATCGTTTGATCCATAGATTCCTTACTCAATCCATCATTTATAAATGCTATTTTATCTTCTCGATTTTTGGACACGAACCCCACAGATTTACATCGTGTGTCACAAGTCCATCGAGCGCATTTGAAACATCCACCTAATCTTTTTGCTCTTCGTTTCTTTGCAAAAGTACTTTTACCCATACCTGACATATATTTATATGAATTTGGAAACTCTCCAGACAATCGAACTTTTGCTTCAATCAACCATCGAATATCACTTGAAATATCATTAATCATAAGCACCCTCAATCTTTCTAATCTAGATCGATAAATCCTTTTTATGATATTTATTGGAAGAAAAGAATAATATTTACGGATATTTGAGAGTGCTAGATGCATTTGAAAATTCGGACCTTTGTTAAGGATAATTGAATGAATTACCTAGTAATTTATAGAAAAATATGATGCGTATGAGATACGACTCTGGACTTAAACAATGTTCAAAAGTATGTGTGTCACACGGCATGACACGATTCTGGATTTAAACAGTGACTAAAAGATATTGTGCCAGAGCCTACACTTAAAGTGTATTTATTGCCGCCGAAAGATGATGTGATATGTTTGTGATAAATGTGCCACAATGAATTATTGTGATGATTACTGATATAAATGATGATGGTTGCATGATTAACTGATTTTTGTGATATAAGATGTTTTGTTCTCGATTGGTGAAAAATATTACTAGCTAAATATTTGTGAATCGATATTTGATCAATCTGAGTATGAAAGGGGTACGATATGTATGGGCCCACTACCCCTCCATGTGTGCTGCTAGATATTATGGATCCACTAGTTAGCCACATGTGTGTGATTTGTAACTTGAAGTTACAAGATGATTTGATCAAATAATGGATATATGATACGTAACCTGAAGTTACGAGATGGTTTGATCAAAGAATGACACGAGAAGATTCTGAAAAAATGAAGATAAGTGTTATATGGAAGTGATGAAGCTAGTAATATACTCAGTTGATATGATGAACTCTTGAAAGAAAAATGTGCACATTACAAATGATATGAGTTCAAAGTCCTCCAAATATATGTTGAAATCGAGAACAAATTGGAGACTAAATGAATTCCCTCAAGAAATTCAATACTGAAAATACAGATCAGGGATCTGTTAAGAGATGAGGGGGAGAATCAATGATTGAAATTTGGAAATGATATATGCATCACACTGAAAGTGTGCAAATCATAAACTTTATGATACTGATGATGGTGAATTATATGAAATGATATAATGGTGGAATAATACGCTGGAAGCGTTGGTATTGTGCAAATTGAAATTCCCCAAATAAGTGATGAAAGGGGTGTATTTACTATTGATGAAATCAATTGATAATGAGATATCTCAATATACTACGGAGAATAATGAAAATGAATAAGTGTCAACACAAACAAATGAATAGCGCTATATAAATGATATTGACGAAAATGAAATCAGCTGAAATGTGAATATTGTGAACTATTGGCAGTAAGACCATTGAAATT